CTTGAGGGTTCTTTTGTACAGTGTATTAAATAGGACGTGATGTAGTGATGTAAATGGACTGATGTGGCTGTTCGTACAGTGTCCTGAGATGACTCTTGATGAACTGGTGCTGAGTAAAACATGTTTAATACAAAGTGTTTCAAACCAACATGAGTAAAAAGGAACTCCTTTTTTGTAAAAGAGTCTATGCAGATGTCTTTCCGTCCATGTGAGTATGGTATCTTTATGTTTACTGTTGGGTTGCTCACATGATAGGTTGTAATCTGACATCTTTTTTCTCATTTCCACATAGCCCACACTGAAATTACTCTACCTTCCCACATGATTCTCTCCCACTCAGACCTTTGGCTCCAACTTTCTTCATGTTCCCACTTCCCTTTCTCTCACCGCTGCCTGTTTCTCCTTCTGTAGAACGACCACTTTGTCATCCCTTCTCCCTGCTGAGGCTGCACTTTCAATCCACTGCAGTCTACACACACATTTTTACACATTTTACTACACACTTTATCATGGCTGTCAGGAGAGCAGCTGAGAGTGCACTTATTGTTGCCTCAGTCTGTACTGTTCCTTTCAACACACTAGAGTAAGACCTGTGAGATGTAGACGACTGCTATGCTGGAAGAATGTGACGTGAGAGCCTGTGTATGTGGGTGTGTTTAAAAGTGTTTTCTTTTTTTTTTTCACAGCCCTCTCCCCCATGTCTGCAGACCTCAAAGGAAAGAGCAGCAGCAGCAGATGTACATCCTGTCAACACTGATGCAAACCTCAACTTCCACACACCCCCTCACTGTATTGTCAAAACTCCTGTTATCGTAGCTCATAAGCCAAACTACCTACTCATAATTCAAGGCTTTGCTAGAAATTTCCCTACAATCCTTTCTCAGTGTTTGTAATTTCATAGGTGATTTCCTGGCTCTGGTTACTCATCCAATATCAGTCATTTTCATTTTCAGTTTTAAATATTTCATCATCTTCCCCATGGCATAATATTGCAAGACTGGTATTAATTGGTTGTTGGAAGTCAGAGTGGGTTTACTGTAATCTTACAGGATGTGTGACTTGACAATGACTTAACAGAAGCAAATTAACTCACTAACGTACACTCCAAGAAAATATAAAACATTATAAATGCAGCCAAGATGATTAGATACGTTACTTCTTAATCAGCAAAAGTCATGACTGAATATTAGAACATGCTTCATAGTGACAGGAACATTACTTGCTTTTCTCTCTGAATGAATGAATCAGTAAAAAACAAATATCAATAGAACCTCTGATGGCAACATCCGCTGCTTGCTTTTATCTCATTTTTCCCTTTGGAGGGATTAGCTAGGATTATTGCGTGGTTGGGGTTTTAATCTGAAAAAAACAAACAAAAAAAACACTGTAATCCAGGAGATTTATTTTATCCCTGATTCAAATCTTAGATGCCCATGTGGCCACAGCTTTGACTCATCTGTGTGGGGGGTTGGTGGGGCTGGGGGGGGGATCACCATGCTGTCAGAAGTTTATCTTAACTCATTGAATGAATAAATAAAATCTTGTTTTTATTTTGGCAGAAACATGGGTACAGATGCGTCAAATTACATAGTAATCAAAAATCAACTAAGTGATTTCTGTTGTATCTCCACCAACTTCATGTCTTATGAGATCTCAGCTAATTAAAAACAAACAAACAAACCAGATCCTATAACTCTTGAATGACACATTGTATTTCAATACCTTTTCTCACTTTCTGGACATGACTTAACACTTCATGCTGGGAAATGTATTTGACTGTGGAGAGAGATCTACAAACGGAAGTGAGAAAACCTCTTCCACCATTTGAGAGTGTGATTACTTTATTTATCACACTGTGCACACTTCTTCCTTGGACTTCCTCAAACCTTTGGCTTTTCTCTCTCGATTCATCATCATCCTACAAGAACAAAAAAAAAAAAAAAAACACACAATTTAAAACCAAAATGAAGAACTTTTGATTTTTTTATATTAGCATAACTGGCATCCCTTTCTGAAAGAAGTAAGAATTTATTCCAAATAAAAAAAAAGTAGACCTTTTTTTTTCTGACTCAGTTTAGCTATCTTGACTCAGAATAATAAACTGAGATTTTGTAGTTAAACCACCTAACATCCCAGCTGGCTCTACTTCTACATTGATGATTTAACCTGTCATTCACTTTGCTTCATTTTATCTCTTTTCACCCCCTCTTTTCCTGTGAAACCCATCCCCCGCTTCCACCCACATGCAGTCTCTCACCCCAGGACAACTGTGAGGCCTACGCTGGCTGCCAGACTCAGCGCTGTAACCAAGGAGATGACAGCCACAAGCAGGTTCTCTGTAGGTTGAAAAGGTGAGTAGTCTCCATGAGCCAGTGAGGGCAGAGTGACGAAAGCTTGGTGGGTCTGAAGAGGCAAGGGGGCAACTGTGAAGGCAGAGGTTTATTTTAAACACAGTGCATCAATCTTAAAATCAAAGTCATTAAGCAGACATACTGGTAAACACCTTACACCTTTTAAGGAATTAAATGTGTTGGTAAAGGTATGTGAGCAATGCAGAACACAACAGAAAACCAATACATTCAGGATACCTTGGCATGTAAATTAACACACTAATTAGCCCCATCCCATCAGAGCTTTACATTTTTATCATACTCCTGCCTGATTTACGTTTAAATCAAATTTTTTTCAATGTCTTGAAGTAATATTCACATTTTAGAGTGCCCAGTTAGACTAGAATCTGATTTGCAGAGGGAGCTACAGATTGGGGTGATGGCCAAAAGGTATTCTAACCTTAAACACTTAGGCCTCATTATAAGAGATAATTAGTTAAAAATAATGGTGGAAAACTGACCATTAAATTTACAAAGGGTTTGACTTCTGAAATTTCATGAAAGATCATTCATGAAATATTGAGGTGTTGAAATTATTTTCTACTTTTCATATAAGAGAGTAAATAAACACCTTTTTTATTAACTAATTTTACATTACTTTGTTGTCTCATATCATAGTTTAGTAAGTTGGGGCTTAACTGTACATATTAACACATACACAATTTACCAAAATCATCTTTACTTCTGACTTTCAAAAATTAATCAAATAAAAGAAAGGAAGGATAGGAAGGATATTTGTCTCATAACTTAGTATGCGACAGCTAACCTCAAAGTGTCACATCCTGTGTTTGTTATTGAGCCGTAGCAAACTGCCGAACTGTTCAGGTTGAAAGAGAAGGTTTCAGAGTCTAAATAATATCAGAGTCTAAATAATATCAGAAATAAAACAGTAGAATGATTTTTTTTATTTTTTATTTTTTTATCACTACAAATGCTGTCACAGATGCTTCTTTATTAAACAATAGTTTATGAGTAGTATGGAGAAGTTTAATCATATGTTGAAAAATAAATTAGCCAGTCAGAAATTACAGCGAAGTCAATAGGTTGTATTTGTTCTAACACAGGTATCATGTTTCCCTGGTGGAAATACCCCAACCATTGAAGTATATATATAAGCAGGCGTCCCTGCAGGCATTTTGACCATGACAGTCATATTTTGCTTTAAAGGTAATGGGGGTTTTCTTCACTAGTTCAGGGTATTTTTGCTGAGTCAGTGGCAGTTTTTGTAGGAGATCTAAAAAGTACTGGTCAGACCTTTTTGGAGTATGGAAAAGGCAAAACATGTAAAAGAATTAGATTAAATTCAGTTTATTTTTATGGTTCCATTTCATCTATGAAATTTCAAGCTGCTTTACAGAGAAAGGTTATTGTAATCATACAGACAGGCAGGTTAATTGTTTTAAATTAAGGGAAGCCCAGCAGATTATTGACTTTGAAGAATTCACTCCACCTGGATGAGCATGTGGTAACAGTCTTCAGTCACTTGCATTGTGTTGTTGACTTTACAATCCCTTATACTGAGCATGCATGCAGTGACAGTGAAAGGGAAAACTCCCTTTTAAAAGGACAAAACCTCCAACAGAATGGACTCGATATGAAAAGCCATCTTCTGCGGTGTTTGGTAGAGTCAAGCGTTTGGTAGAACGGAGGCAAACGCACATGTTTGCTGTGAAAATGGTAGACTGGCGAGAGAGAAATTTCCTTTTTAAAAAAAAAAAAAAACTATATTTAGTAAAACAAGGCATACACTGAATAGAAAGTTCTCACTTTGTGCAAAAAATCACAAAGAAACTAGAACATATAATATAGCTTCATGGTAATGGTTACAATGAAACTTTGTAAAGCTAAAGATTAATTGTTAAATGGTCCACTTAGAATTAAAGAAAGATGTATTTCTTTTTAAGTTACTATCAGCGATTTTGATGCAGTTTTGTTGACAAAACTGTCTGTCTGTCTGTTTACAATCAGGCAGTAAACAAACTTCTGTTATTCTCGAAAGCTAATTTTTGACATGGTAATCCCTCAATTGATAAAGCTTTTATTTTAACTGTTTTGAAAGGGTAACTGATAAAAGGTTTTACATTACACTTATTAAAAAAGCAAAAATAAATGTTCTTACCTTGTCTTGAATGCAAGGATATTTAAGTTATGCGTTAGATAAGCAAGCTTTAAAACTATGGTGAAGAGAGTTGCAAGACTTTTAAAAGCAAAATATGAATGAAAATGCTGAAGTTCAATATATTGGACCAGAAAATTAATCAAACATTTCTTTTCAATGTGGACCCCAACCCCACTAAAAAGAAAGCAGGTATTTCTGAATGTACAGCCAGAGAAATATCATAGCTTTGCTCTCCGTTGTTCCTCTGCAGAATATGTTCTGTGGATCAATACATGATTATTTAAGCCAAAAATGATTTAATTTATGAAAAGAGATTAGGTAGATAGCTGTAAAATATATTTTCTAAAGAAAACTGTTTTTTTTTTTCTTGAATAAATGTCATTTAGTATTAAGTTATTCTATCACAATAAATAATTCATTTACATTTAAAATAAATATAGATAGCTATAGATAGATATAGATAGATAGAGATAGCTAAGTCACTGGAATTAAGAGTTTTGTAACGAGTGATAGTGGGAGGAAGATAATTTGTTAGTAGGAGAATTGAAAAATCGACACCATATTTTGATGATGAGTGTCCGGGTAAGAATTTCCATCTATAAAAGGGATCTGATTCTACAGTGGCAGCTTTGCAAATACAGTGCTCTAGATTGCGTCAACTGTTTGCCTTACTTGTAATGACATGTCTGAATCTCGACTTCACCTGTGAGTAGAAATGTGACTCTATAGAAGATGGTTCCAATTTGGTCTTGCAGAGAGCAGCGATATGTTCCTTGCTCCTCCAAGTGCAGCTGATTCAGGACCACAGACGAGTCGTGTGTCACCACTAAGGTCTTGAAGTCCTTTTCAGTCAGCTATATGTAGACATTTGGAAGTGATAAATAAGGAGTAGAGGCAGATAGCAGGCAGGAAAAATGTGCATGCAAGCTAACACACAACAGCTAAATGTGTGACAAAACAGGACATCCAAATACAATTTATTGATAAGGTACATTTCAAAAACAATAAAAAAAAAATGCTGTACTACCAACAGAAGCTGGAAAGCTCATCATAGTGCCTACAAAATACTGCTGACCTGGTTGTTGCACTTTAATCCTGAATACCTGGTTACACAAAGATCTGCGACCTATTGCTCAAAATATGGTTCCAGCTCACAAAGGTTTGGGTGACTGGTGTATGACTATATAAAATGCCATTTTTTTTTCTTAATAAAGCTTTTAAAAAAGTAATAACCATCCATGTTTTTTAATTACTTTACAGGAATTTCTAAACAATTGGCTGTGTGGTGAAATAATTCTGACAGCCATTTGTGAAGACATAAATGCAAATGTTTCTCAGAATTAATCATAAAGGGAGAGGATACAATAATTAAGGGAAAAGGACAAGAACTGAACTTTAATAAACTCCAAAGGAAGGAGATGCTAAAAAATATTTTTTTTTTTCTGTATGGACAGAGAAACTTGTGTAATGCTGGTATGAGCAAAACCAGCCTAATGCTGCACCTTAAAACTCCACCCAATGTTTTAACGTCTGAATAACATTTAGGTGGAGCAATGTGGAAAGGAAATTGAAAGTAAAGTTAAAGTACAGTCATATCTAAATTAAGCAAAATATGTGCTTCGACTGGATAAAGGGACTATACATAATCATCAACCTTTAAGCAGGTACTAAAAAATGTCCATATAAAAATAATAAAAGCTGCATTTCTTTTTTTAAAAATTGCTTGCTATTGGTCAAATGTAATACTCTAATCCTAGATGTTGTGTTTTAATTATGGGTATATATTATATAAATATAATCGACAGAAAACATGCTTTAAAATATCCCTCCGTTTGTAATTCAGCTTTAAATTGTTCCACTTAGTGAATTTTGTTTAAAATATATAAACTTTTCTATAGTATTCTCATTTATTTTATCTAAATATAAATAATATAATATATAATAAATATATATTATATAATATAATATACATGTTAAATTAGGATATTAGTAAATATGTTTCAGCTGTGTGACCGTTTTGTTCCCCGGTTCTCCAGGAGCCCAGGAGTAGTAGTACTCTGGTTTTCCCAATAGGAAACGATGCCATGGAAGGAAACAGTCCAACACAGCCTGGCCTCCCTCATCCCCCTGCAATGGGTACACTGGAAAGGAGATAGAACAAGAGATTTGTAATGTATTTGCTTCTGGATTATATCTATAATCTTTTTAATTAGCACTGCACATGGCCATGCTGAGGCATTATGCTTTAGAACACATTCCACATGCTTTAATATACTCCGAAGAATGATGCAGTCCCTCTACATAGGCAGGCCAACCCCTCATCTACTCATCAAATGACGAACAACATATAAATACAACACTACAAGAAAGAAATAGAAAATACCGCCACAGTCCAGCTGGTCTGACAGAGATGGACAAGTGTAGATTTTGTATTTGCAAGAGATACAGTCCATCACTCTTCTACAGAGAACTCCTGTAATTCACAAAAACACACACGTATGTACATGTGTTCAGCAAACATGTACCAACTCAACATGGTTTGCACAACCAGAAGCAGCATCGTTGGTGGGATCAGCGATCAAACTCACCGCACTTGTTGGGGCAAAGTCCTTCATGGAAACAGAAAACAGAGAGATGAAATGAAACTAACAGTAGAAACTTGCATAGAGTGCTTTGCCTCACTATTATTTACTGTAGGTTGATTACCATCAGGGATAAAAGCGTCCAAGTGCTTCTCTAAGATTTTCCTGCCTTTCTCCATGATCTGAATGGTTTCAAATGTTAGAGACCCTTAAATATAGAAACAGGATACACTGCTGTTAGATGTCAAGCAAAGATGATAGTAGTATTTTAAATAACCTCTTTGTTGTGAAATCATAAAGAGTTGGAAAATAGTTTCAAGTAAGTTTTTCCACATCATCTTTTTTTTTTCTTACCAGTGGGTTCTGTTTTCAAAAAGCGATCAAATTCACTTTGGTATTCAGTTTTGGCTCTGTACAATGTGGTTGGATCTATGCATTTAGCAAACAAAACAAAAAAAAGAAGCATTTTGGTGAGATGTAAGACCCCGAAGTAAAAACAATTATTCCGATACGGGGTTTATGGTCTCACCAATGACCCCCTTTCGATTCCGGCTCGTCTCTCTGTATGTCTCATAGGCGTGGTCACAAATTGTTTGTAACTCAATTTGCTCATTCACTGTAGGAGCAGACAAGATGAAGTCGTCATGCATGTTCCTGATGGTGCGGTCGCACTGCAGACAGGCCTGAGCTGCACAGATGCAGGAGATCAGGGCCACCAGAATCCACAGCATCTTCCTGCAGCTCTCGGAAGCACCACAACCTTTGTGTTTGTGTGATCTGAATATTTTAAAGCAGAATTATCAAATAACATTCCTTAAGATAAAGCACTGCTAAGATGGGTTTATCACAGGTATGAATGTTACCGAGATGGTGTGTTTTCTTCAATAAGCCTATTTGAATTGTATTCTTTAGGGTGATATAATTATACATAATCTGGACACAGTAGTAATGAAAAACCCAGTAAAAACTAGAATTCCAAGCAACAGAAAGACTGACTCAAACTGCATCTCTATTTGCTACTAGAATACTTTATTAAGCAAAATACTAATGAAACAAGTTGATTGTCCTTTTGTTTGTCTTATGACTTAAAAGTTAGTTAGTTTCCTGTATCCTTATATCCGCCATCTTTTCAAAACAAGTCTGTTGACTGCTGTTCATTAGTTACATCTGATATTCTGTATCCCATTTTAAGTCATTAAAATAATTTCAGCCTTTATTGGCTCATACAATAATATTCCCTCAATGTTATGAAAATCATCAATATAGCCTAAATAACTTAATTAATCACATGTGTAAATGTCTATCCTTTATGCTGCTGCTGCTACTGCTGCTTGGATGGTGGCAAAATAGAGACACCAACATGGCTTGAATAGTGCATTGCAAAACTAGTCGTGAAACTAGTCCTTTCTTGTCTTTTTTTTTGTGCAAATAAAAATCTCAGAAGTATGCTATTCATTTTAATTTAGCCCTCTATTTCCTCCTCATGTAATCCTTATAAAATGAGCTCCATCTTAGAGTAATTTCATTTTGATATAACTCCATCTGCAGCAGTCAGAATAAAGTTGATACAACACTCTTGGAATTGAACATCCCATAGAGCACCATTCAGTCATATCAAAATGAAAATGATATGGCACTAACACACATACAATATGAGATCATTGGTGTGATTTGACAGGATAAACAAGGAAAACATTAGCTGCAAAAGCTCTTAACAAATCATGAACTTACATCCTCACAGTCAAGCATGGTGGTGACAGAATCATGGGGGCTACAATGGTAAGATCACAACCTTGGAAGATTAATGAAACTTTAGGGCATGACTTGAAAAAAATATATGTTGATAGAGACTCTAGATTAAATCTAAGGCGTATCAAAAAACCAAAAATATTTCTCAAAGCATACAAAGATTGTACATTTCCTAAAAAGATTGTGGCTGTAATAGATGACCCTGATAAACATCTACCTACCACATAAAGGCTCAGGGAGCTAAAGAGATAAAATACCCCACTTTTCAGTTTTTTTGTTTGTTTGTTTGTTTGTTTGTGAAGAAAAGCCCTGGAAAAAAAGAACACCAAGATCCCTATTTTAATGTTATAAAATATATTCAAAATTCATTGTACTACTGCTGAAAATTATATCCTATATTTAAGCTTAGCAGGAGCTAGTGGGATAAAACAGTCTGTACATGGCTTGTTGCTGCCACCCAGTGGCAGAAAGTGAAACATGTTCACACATTTTGCTTTGTCTACCTGCTCTTACCTTTTATAGGTTAGGTGTGATACTGGCATAAACTGGAACAAATGGCGTCCGCTTTCTGCGCACAAAAAAGGACAACACAGCGTGAAAAGTTTAAAACAGTGATTAAGAATAACAATATATGTGTACTATTAGATTTTATGATATATTATATTATATTAATATATATATTAATCTTGCCAGACAATACACTTTTATTGCCAAAAGAAAACAGGTGTATTGTCTTTTTTGTTTGTTTCCAATGGCAACGGTTGTATGCTAGGTTTAAAAGTAACTTATATGTTTTCTTGTTTGGGGTAGGCCCTAATGTGAACTCTGGTGTTATTCGTTCGTTTATCAGCAATAAAGATCTAAATATGTTTACTGTGTGATTTAGGAAGAAAAAACTCACAAAAACACAGACGTCCCACGTTAGAAGCAAAGCTTTCCTTATACTACAGTTCCCAGAAGTCTCTCTGGTGGGGCTATTTGAGTGACGGCTTTCAGGACCAATCTAGACGTAGGTGGGAGAGGTTTAAACAGTGGCGCATGCGCAGTACGACCAGAGACGTTTGTCCACATCTCGGCGGTGCAGTACGCAAAGTGACCTCGGTAACTCAACTGCAGACATAAGGTAAATATCTGTTTATAAAGCTGTTGAAGTAAGCAGAGACACGACGGCTATATCTTCCTGTATATGTTTTTAATTTTAACAACATTAATCTGCAATTGAACCGTACAGATAGCTGTCACGACAGGTTGTAAATGAAGCGAGCTTTAATGCCAAATTGTGACAGTTAACATCGCTTAACGTCTTTCAGGGAAACTCACGTTCACTAAAGTTGAATTACACTTGTTTATTTGTTCATAAACACGATGTCACTTTTGGAAATATACATGTTTGGTTGTGTTAATCAGGAGGAGAATATTTTAAAACAGGTTTTGTGTGTCATAAGTTGTCTGTTGTTGCAAAACAAGGAACCTTCAACAACAAACACATCCTCAGTAAGCTGTAGAGAGGAAATTGATAAAGTTTCCCTACCCATATAACGTGTTTGGTTTTATTTAGAAACTGGGTTTGGATTTGGATTGTTTAACATACAAGCTGTGATCCAAATCTATGGAGTCAGAAAGGGGTCAAAATGTTTGTAAATCTTATTTAAAAATGAAAAAATATATAAGGTGGTATTGAATATCAAATGTTTACCTTATAATATGAGAAACTAAAAAAGCAAACAGAAAATAATAACTGAATCTAGTCTAAATTCTTCCATTCAGTTTGAAAATACTCATAATTCAGTTTAGTATTTTAATTACTCTTTTTTCCCCCTTTTTATTTCTTTTCTTTATGGCAGTTTTAGATTTTATGTTAAGATTAAAATCCCTTTCTTTCTATTTTTTCTTTTTTAGTTTCAAATAGCTTTTTCAGTTTCAGGATTTTTTCCACATTCAGATTTTTACCCCAATCTGACGGGATTGGACGGGGAAATGTGATTAGCAGCTTGCAGCATTTCTGGAGAGATGTCCTGATCCATGCTGCAGTCATGGACTGTGGGAACTCCAACTACTTAGTGAACATATGTTTTCTCCAGCTTTGTGAAAAATATTACGTGAAAGACATTTACAGTGGAACTGCCCACAGTATTAGAGACAGTTGGTTGGAGCAAACCACAATAGGAAATGCTGTATTTTGCCTGCCTGGTCAGTTTACTACAGCTGCAAAAAGTGTCTTAGGTTTGCAGATGTTTTGTGTTTAAGGGTTGACATATTGTATTTTTTTTATTTTAGTTAATTTATAAAACTTTATAAATGGTATCTAGCAAACCCCAAATGGCATTCATTGATTAGCTATATTTACATGGTGATAAAATAAAACCTACCTTATTGATTCTAAGATAATTTGTTTGTCTGAAGTTGACTTAGTGTTGTCAAAGTAGAGAGATAAATACATAAGCATGCTTTTTATATAGATTTGTATTAGTAGAAATGTTATTTTTTTTTGCTTCATTTCACAGTAATCCTCTGCTTTGTGCTGGTCCCAAACTAAATTTCTTGAAGTTTGAGTCCATTTTACAAAATGAGGGACATTTAAGTTGTTCAAATATTTTTGTAAGGCAAAGGTTGAAATTGAAACTCTGAAATAGTGCATGAAGAAAATTATGAATAATCAACTTTTCTCTGAAGGTTTAATGCAAATAATTTAAGCCAAATTTCTTCACAATTTGCCACATTTCCATTAAATGACTAGAATAATAGAAGAAAACCAAGTAGTAACATAATCATTGTTTTTCCTTGTCTAAGTTACGTTTGAAAGGTTTGTCAGACCAGTAAATCACCGAGAACTACATGCTTGCTGCTGTGCTGTTATTAGAGGGGCGCTGATCCTAAATATCATTTACCGTGGTTTGGCAATAAATGTAACTGTACCATGCTTACTTGGTGTCTGCACCATTCGCTCTGATCATAGCCTGTCGTTAAGCTTTTATCAGCTGTGTTAGTTCTGGTACTTGTGTGACTCTATACGGACGTTGAACCTGCCTACCTGCTGTTTATCAGATTACACTATCTGCTGGACGTTAATTAGATATGTGGCTGGACACTCTGAAAACCAATGTGTAACATTACAGTGATGAGTAATTCTAGCAGAGGGTTGGTAAACAGACTAGAATACAGCTTGAGACGTTTCTGCTCCCATGTTTTATTCTTTCCCCTTTTCGTTGGACATCGAGCCATCCTTCAGCTGATGTTTGTCATCTCCTATTTCACAGGTTTGGACAACTTGATCCTTATTCAGAAATGAAGATATTAGAAATTTGCAGGTAGACCGTAAGAATTATTTGCTGCTCCTCTGCGGCAGTCAAGATCATCAAGAAGCACCAACAGTCGTTCCTCTTCACGCCTTTCAACAAGTATTTCAGTATGTATCGGATTGTCCCAGGAGATCCTGGAGAGCAGATGGTGACTGATGGAACACGCGGTTCCCCACACAAAAAGAAACTTGGACCTGAGGGACGGCGGATGGTGATTGCCGGTTTGCTAGGCTGTGTGTTGGTTCTGGCTGCTGTGATCGCTTGGTGCCACTATTCGGTGTCTGTTCTTAAAGCTCAGTTACTGAAGACTGAGTCGCTGGACCTGAAAAAAGATGGCTACATCATACGGAACCGTCATGGGGCTATCATCTTCACCATGACTTTCAGGTGAGCTTTCTGTGGAAAATGGATTTATCATTCAACAGATTTTTGTTTTCATCTTTCTCTATTCAAATGGCATAGAAAGAGTCCAAATTATAGGGATTTAAATGTATGATACAACAGGTTTTGTATATAAATTGAAAATCTTAAGTGAAATTGTGAGAAATAGGGTGAGATGTAGGAAAAAAAAGATGAACTACTAAGATTCTAGAACAAAAAACATGAATGAGACAAAATAAAGAACACCTAAGAATGCAGTCTGATGTGTTTCCTTTGATAGAAAACACTTTAAACAACCTGAATATGATGTGATTTTGTAAAGTCACAAGAGAAGATGTGTTTTTAATTGGCATGGAATAAAAAAAAAACTGTATTGAATATAGAAATGGTATAAATAGCCCAAACTATTAATAATTGGGATATAGATAAAATGTTTTGGTATAAGGAAAATGTTTGTACTTGAATGTAGTTCTTATCTGAGATGTAGTATCTTCATTAAACCATTATAGGGTATAATAGTTTCTAATACATTTTAGTATAGGTTTTATTCTCTATTCTTAAATCAGAGGAATATTTTCAAGTCAAGTACTCCTTGCATTTCAAGAAAGAGAGAATGAGATTCAGTCAACTGGCCTTTCTCAAGTCAAACTTTTAAAAATGTGTAATTGCTAAGTTTTTTTTTAATTGTAATTTTAATTTTGATCCCAATCAAAGGATATAAACCTATAAGACATTCTACTCTGAACACAGAAAGAGTCATGACTTGCTCCTGATTATTTGCTCTCAAGTCACCCATTAAGTGGGATATATGAGACGGCAAATTAAAATGTTCTCTTTAAAGGTAAACAGTTAAAAACAGTGACATATTGGCACGTGTGAAGATTTAAATGGGTTTTTCAGGAGCAGAATTTTATGGCTTGATGATTGGATCTGAACATCTCCAAACTTTTTGTTGATTCAGTAGTCGTTGGTGTTTGTCCAAATCAGCCTAAGGAAAAAAACTGGTGAGTCAAAGACTTGGAGCTCAAAACGCATGTAGGGAAGATAAACAGACAAACTACTGTGACTCTTGTTGCTGAGGAGTTTGTTTGTTTGTGATGAACTAAATTTATTGATTTCATCAGGATGGGCTTGATTAGATTTAGGCTATAAAATGATAACTTGTTGTGTTCCTGTAAAGTACCTTGAGATGGCATTTGAAGTTTTTATTTTATATTTCAGATAGGTTATGCCCTGAATAAAAAATGGAAAAGGGAAACTTCCATGGACTTGGTATAGAAACAGGATTAGATAGTGCTGTTATAAGATAACTGTGTTTTCGTTCTACATTTTGTTGAGTGTCTAGTTGTGTTGGCTTTTGCATAGTTAGTCCATTTTTTTAAGAGCTTATGCTTAGAGGCTGCCTGTGTGCACTTTGTGGGTTATAGATGGGAAAACCAGAGGAGACAGACACATGACTGCACCCTGAGGGGAGACCGATTTAGTCATGGTCATTATTAGCAGAGGTCATTTCGACAAAAATAGCATACAGCTGCAGCTTTGTTCTCTTCCAGCTAGTTATTATTTTACCTGAACAAACATGATTTACTTAATTCAGTTCAATTGCGTTTATTTATATAGCAGCAATTCACAACATGTCATCTCAAGGCACTTTACAGAGACAATTCAACCAGATCATACAGTCAGATTTATTCAGAGTTTTCTATCTAAGGAAAACCAACTGATTGCATCGATTCCTTGAATCAAAAGCAACCCTTCATACCAAGCATGTTTGTAGCAACAGTGGAGAGGAAAAACTCCCTTTTAACAGGAAGAAACCTCCAACATAACCAGGCTCAGTGAGAGCGGACATCTGCTTCTGTCTCCTGGGGTTCAAGGAGACAGAAGCAGAGATATAAAAGATAAATGTCCATTGCTAACTTTTCCCCTCTCTGTTGTGTATCCTCCCTGTTCATACATGGTACCAGGTCTGGCACTCTGGATCTGGACTCCTGCACAAAGGAGGGGAATATTCTGAGCTGTACTCGGTCAAACTCCGGCAAGCTGAACTTTTTCATCGAGACAGTCCGAGACAAGGACACAGTGATGTGTTATCGCATTCGCTGGGAGGAGCTACAGAGTGTGCACTCAGTGGAACATGCCATGGCCTACAACGACTCTCACTGGTACGGAGGAGCAGAGACAGCAGAGCAGTACTGGCCTTTGAGAATCATAGGGGAAGAGGAACCACGGCCTTTCATCACCAGTGACGTTTACTCCAATCGAAATGCATTTGGGGGAATCCTTGAACGTTACTGGCTGTCTTCCAATGCAACTGCAATAAAGATTAATGACTCAGTCCCGTTTCATTTGGGCTGGTCGCAGAAGAACAGGACTCTAAGATTTGAGGCCCGATATCATGGTTCCCCATTTAAACCACCCGCAGGACAGCAGGACTTCCCTGAGCTCAGCTACAGAGTCTGTGTGGGACTGGATGTTACCTCCATTCACAAGTATATGGTGAGTGTGTTCGCATACATGAAAAGAACAGTCAGTTCAGTTTATTCCAAACAGTTTATAAACAAAATAAGTTATCTAGCTTAGCAGGCTGAAACCCTGAAAGTTGTCATTTCTACGCTCCAATCAGGCTGATACATTGAAATGTTGGAAGCATATTGGCCATTCAGCTGACACCTTTTAATTAAGAGATTTTTTCTAATCAAAAATTCTCACAACAGAAAAGCTTTTCTTTCATTCCTCCAAATGTCCTCTGGGTATCGTATGAGTTGATGGTCGACTTCCCCTAGTTGTCTGTGGCACTTTCATTGTGCAGAGCTAGTTTAGCAGTAGCAGCTTTTCTAAAATAGCAGCTGCATTTGCTGCTTGCAGTATTTTTCCTTTGCAGGATGTTGGCGTGTAAAAGTCATAGGTGTTTGAAGTGTCCTGCTCTGTGTTTTCTATAACCCCTCTCCCGATGGCCAAAACAACAGTTTAAAGCCACAAACAATTGGCTTTTAGTGGCAGTGGGAACGGCTCACTGACTCGTGTCAAAGGACTCGGCGGGCGACCTGGGTTAAAATTGCTTTCGCAAGGCTCGGCTCTGATCAGCATACGTTGAGAACATCAGACCCAGGTTGACCCGCTAATTTATGTGAAACCGTCGAGCACAGCGAGCATACGTCACAACATTGCGGTGGTCGCATCTGATATAACAATCCAAAACAACAGAAACCAGGCAGTTTGCCAGCAGTGGATCAGACTCAGCTTATTTTTTGGCAACAGAGAGGGACCAAAATGCCGACTGTTAGCGGGTCGCCCGTGTTCGAAAAACCGCTAACCCTCTAATTTCAGTGGGAAAGCTGCTTATGATTGCAGCATTTCTCTTTTGCACTATTGTTCCTTTGCATATTTCCCATGTTTGCATGTTAGTCTTATTTTTGTATTTACTACCTTTATTTTGTAGATAGCAGTTGTTTATTTTCATAGAGATGCTCAGATCCAGTTTTTATCTAATCCTGAGCTCAGCTTATCGGCTGATACCACTGCTAAATGAATGAGCCGTTTACCTCTCCGTGTGAGTGAATACATCAGGTATAAACATTTTTTTAAAAAGGTAATCAATTATGACGGATATAAATATATTTGATATTATTAATTAACAAATGAAGTGTGCATTATCAGCAAAAAGAAATAAACATAAATTGCAATGCAAATATTTGGAAAAAAACAATATAAAATACAACAGCAGCCAGAAACCCAACAATGTCTTAATAAATTGTAAAAAAAAAACGAACCTAATATGAGATACAAAGACTGAACCCCACGAAGAGAAGTGTTTTGTTCAAGATATAAATTTAGACATTCAAAACAGATAGCTACCTAAAATAATTGTAAGTATTTTGTGCTCAAGTGTGACCCGATCCTCTTCAAATGAAATTCAGGAGCGATTACAGGATTACTTCATTAAAATAAGCATTACTGCTCTGTCTGCTGTCAGCCTTTTCCTCTTTCATCCACAATCTTGAAGGCTGTGCTGAGCAGTCTCTCACTTTCTACACTTGTGCAACTGGCACAGAGGAACCTTCTGGCAAAGGTTAACAAACTGATCCCTCTTGACTCCATGGTACTGGTAAAGGTTGTCTAAGGTAGCAGTTGTTCTCTCAGTAAATACAGTGAGCATTTTAGCCATTACTTGTGTAGCTTGCATCGCCTGGATTTTTCAAACTGCTTCTTTAAACTTTCTGTGTCCTTTACTATGAAGCTCTAGCCAGATGTTAACAGCATGTAACAGCATTTTATCTGCTTGCTATAAACTGTCCTATGTGCTTTGTATTGTTTCTGCTCAGGTGCGCCGATACTTCCCAAAGCCTTTCAAAGTCCCGTCTTCTGAAGTGTTCAAAAAGCCGGTGTGGTCCACATGGGCCCTCCATAAGACAGCTATAACTCAGGAGAAGTTGCTGAGCTACGCATCAGAAATCACCAAGCATGGCTTTGCCTGCGCCCACCTGGAGCTGGATGACCGCTACACCACTGACTATGGAGAGTTTGACTTTGACCCCCAGAAGTTCCCCAATGCTAGCGGTATGTTTGAAAAACTCAGAAAGGACGGCTTTCAAGTCACGCTGTGGACACATCCTTTTATCAACTATGACTCCATTAACTTTGGAGTTGCTATGGAGAAAGGCCTTTTTGTCCGAGAGCCAAGTGGAGAGCTACCTGCCCTCGTCCGCTGGTGGAATGGTATTGGTGGCATCTTGGATTTTACGAACCCAGAAGCCTGTGGGTGGTTCTTGTCACAACTAAATATGCTCAAAAGTCGTTATAATGTGACATCGTTTAAGTTTGATGCAGGAGAAACAAGCTACCTCCCTCGCCAGTTTAGCACGCTGGTTCCTCTGTCTGACCCCTCCACCTTCACCCGGCGCTACACGGAGATGGTCATACCTTTCAGCTCACGTGCCGAGCTCCGTGTTGGCTACCAGAGTCAGAACATCTCCTGTTTCTTTAGGATCATTGACAGGGATTCAGTTTGGGGTTATAACCTTGGTCTCAAGTCCATCATCCCAACTGTTCTGACTATCAGTATTCTGGGCTACCAGTTTGTCTTGCCAGATATGATTGGAGGGAATGCGTACCCCAACAGCACTGCAGGTAGGAGACCCCAGCACATGTACCAAAATTCACCATGTTTTTATCTGTTTTTGTCTTAACTATGCTGCATTTTAGGCAAGATAAATGAAACCAATGAGCTGCCAGACAGAGAGCTGTACATCAGATGGTTGGAGCTGTCTGCTTTTATGCCTGCCATGCAGTTCTCTATTCCACCATGGGCTTATGATGACGAGGTGAGCATTTACAGAAAAAAAGCATAATTCCAAGTTAGAAATAATTATTTGAATTGTGGAATCCCAAAACATCATCTCTCTACTAAATGAAATTAACAAGATCAACAGAAACTGATAGTTTGGTAACTAGTTTATGTTTAGAGAATAAAATTAAGACAAGTAACTGAAAGATGATCACACTGGGAATACAGTGGTGTTTGGTGCTAAGTTATTATTTCAAACAGGGACAATGTGCAACATTTCACTGACCTTTTAAATAATGCCTTTGTGGTCATAGAGCCTGGTATGGTTTTAAATTTTGCCAAATTAGATCTCATAGATTTTTATTGTTTACTTTTCCACACCCTTTTTAAAAGTTAAACAGTCCTTTGAAAAGGTAATTTAACTTAGTTTGTACATTAAAACCAAATTCCTTTAGTAACTGGAGTCCATGATGCTTCCACCTCCATGTTTAAATGGATGCTGTGTTCAGGCTAATGTGCGGTGTTCCTACCACCCATCTTGTATACAGTCTTAAAGATTAAGTTTGTGCCTCATTAGATCACTGGATTGTACTTCCATGTTTGCTCTGTAATGTCCCCGTACATTAAATATGGGACTTTTAAATCTCTGCAGCTTTTCGAAAGTGATAAAAGCCTCTTAGCTCTTGGTTTATTAGATGGTTAACATGTAATTTAAGAAAAAGATTAACGCTTAACAAATGTGAATATTTTTGCAGCTTCTTCGATTTGGATATTGTTTTACAATCTTAGCATGCTTTAAACTTCTACAGAACTTTCTCCTTGACCTGTTATCTATATTCTGTTGTCATTAGTGTGCCATGTCTACACTGAGCGCCTTTAAGAAATCCTTGAGCCCTTTACAGAATAATTGTTTTAAAACCAAAATACACAGGTAGACTTGATTTACTAATTAGTTTCTTATTTGGATCTTATTTAGTAGTGTCAGAGTAAAGAGGATTGAATACAAATGTAAGTTTGCTGATTTTTATATTTAGACAAGATGTAGAAAAAATCATCCAGACGATTCCTTCCACTTATCCTCTGCTTTTTGTTGGTCTGTCATATGAAATCCATATATTAATTTGAGCTTGTGGCAAAATATTGAGAAATACATCAGAGCAACAAATATTTCCTGTTTCCTATTTTCTCAAATACCAAAAAAAAAAAAAATATTGGATAACATTTGGTAGATTTTTGCAAATTAATTTTTACTCATGGAATAGATGTTAAATTTTTATAGCATTGTTCGATGTGACCACTAGAGGGGGCCAATTTTTCTTGATAAAAGACATTTAGTCTAAAAACCAAAAGAGGTTTAAACACTATTTTAACCTAGCCTGGGTGCCAGTCAGAACTTAGTCCCGCCCACAAGGTTTGAGTTCGAGGAAGTTCGGTCTGGCTCTGCTCCATAGTAGCGCGAGTATTATAGCCCACTGTCAGGCGATCCAATCAAATTGTCAGGGCGGACTTTATACGATGATGGACAGATGATCAAGAGTAACGTAATCAACCACGTGACCAAAGCGCGCTAGGGTGACAACAATAATGGCTGCCGCTGGAGAGTTTGGGTGAGTAGATTCTGCTATTAGGTCTGTTCTAGAAGATATCGACAGCAAATTAATTTTAAAAGAGGAACAGAGAAACGCGATCAAGTCTCATCTTCTTATTATAGGCGTGCAACTGCACGCTTTGATTTTTGTGGACAACAAATATGCCTCGCTTAACATACGTCACGCACTCCGTTGCTCTTATTGGTTGTAGGTCTATCCAATTGAGTGCAGAGGCATTTTTTTCCTGGTTCGTTCGAAACACGCCCCATAATCACAGCTCTATGGAGCAGTATCAGACTCATATTCTGACTAGAATTGAGTCGGACTACGTCAGGCTAATTTTAACCCACACTGGGTTTCTTACTTTATTTTTACTGTTTTAAAGCAAAAAGGAGTTGCTGGAGTACTGTGTACCTTTTGAGTTTTCACTAAAGTGTTTAAGGTATCTTAGGGTTCTCTTTTTGTTCTCTTTTTTTTTCCAGCACTAACAAACTAAAATTGTTCCTTCTCACACAGATAATAAGCTGGGGGGCTGCCACCAATGAATTTCCCTGCTTTCATGCTAAATATAAATTCCAAGTAAAATGATAATTGCTAAAACTCTATTCATTTCTCTCTAGGTGGTTCAGATTGCCCGGAAGTTTTCAGAGATCCATGAAAGTGAGGTGGCTCCAAGGGTTCTTGAGCTGGCAGGGGAGGTTGTTAAGACTGGAGATCCCATCATAAGGCCCCTGTGGTGGATCGCCAAAGACGACGAGGCAGCCTTTAAGATTGATTCCCAGTTTCTGATTGGGGATGATCTTTTGGTGGCTCCGGTATTGGAGCCTGGAAAGCAAGAGAGGGACATCTACCTGCCACCAGGCCCTTGGAAAAGCAAAAGAGGGAAGTATGAAGGTCCCACGTATCTCACAGACTACCCTGTCGACCTGGATGAGATGGCTTACTTTTATTGGGATAAGACATAAATTAGATTAATTAAAAGCAAGTTGCACTGACAGACACACTGTATGTATGCTTATCTTCATTAAACAAGACAAGCTAATGGTTGCTATCTTATGGAAAAAGTTCTGATTTCGGTGAATGTTGAGTCTGTGCCTCCTATGACGTTATTCATCTAAATTTTTACTTAAATAAGTTTATTTTTTGTAGAGATGCACCAGTCAGGCTTTTAATGAGTAATACAAGTATCCGGATTTCTTAAGGACAGATTTGCTTATTTTAAAAGGAAATCCCCCCAAAACTGTGGTTTGATTAACTAAGGTGTAGAACTCTTGGGCTTAATCTTAGGTTATTTCATTCAGTATTTATCAATATAGTACTATTGCGCACTGCAAAACTTGTAGGCAGGCGCATAACGGATATCATATAACGGAGTCCCCACAAGAAAACAGTTCTATTGTGAAATATGAGTGCAAGTCTTTAAAAAGGGAACTTTTTTTGTAGATAATACTATGATTTAGTTTGGGCTGTAGACACAACTCAGCATGAAGAATGCTTGAAACTGAAAACAATAGCCTGAACATTTTTATAGGTAATCTGGCTACAGGATTGTTTTCAGGCACTTGATAAATAGATAAAAATGACACGGTGACATAGCAGCCTAAAGTGATGAACATTATCAGCAGAACACACGCACACACAATTCAAGTCTGGATCTTAAGTTTTTATGTATTTTTTGAATGCCAGAAAATTTTGGAACCTGACCTCTGGATCACCAATCAGAGCTGATTAAGCCTATCAGATGGCTGATTCCTATCTCTAGTGAATGACTGGTGCTTCTCTGTGTTTTTATATTTTATTTTCACTACCTTTTTATTTTGTTCCTCATCCTCACGTGCCTTCCACAGATGTGTAGGGTAAGAATCCTTGACTGTGCCACTAATGCAGCCTTCCTTTGTAGTGCCAACAACTGATCCTTAATGCTTCAGGCCATCTTTTTATTTCACAACCGTGACCTGTTTATTTAGGGTCATGTTTGTGATGAAGCATTTTTTTTTTTTACTTTAATTACACTGTTAAATAAAATACAGGGTAGCTTAGATGACTTTGCCATAAGATAAAGGAATGCACCTGTTGGGTGCTGTTCTAGCTACAGAATAGACCCTGACTTTGGCATTTGGACCACTGGTAAAAGTGGGAGTCTGAACTTTCAAATGACCAAGCTGACACACATTAACTTGCATTTTAGTTTCTGCACTTTATTGAAGCTTCACTTAATAAGTGACTGAGGACAACTTCTGTGATTCTAGGTACTTTTATAAAATGTTCATTTTTTAAAGGTTTCTATTATCAGTCCTGATGTGCCATTTTGCCATTTCATTTTGCGAAACGTGAGAACTAAAAGTATTGCTCAGGGTGGCATTAATGTTGGTGGAGGTGGTTTCTGTTGGAGATTTCCTATTTACAGCTGCAATTATTAACAATTATTCAGTATGATACATTGGTCTTTTCTCCACCTTTGCCTTGTGACTCATTTCGCCTTATATTATCTGTGCTTCACATAAAAGTAGCAAAGACTTGACACTATTTTGCACACAATGAAATGCAAGAAGCCACTCGTTTGCAAGTGCTTGAACTTATATTCTATAATGATCCCTCGCATGAGACAAAAAGCACAAAGATGGTTTAATTACCTGGATGAAAAGCTCTTTACTTATACTGACTTGCCATCAGGTTAGTTAGCTAGCTGACAGGAAGAGAAAAGGTTGTTCACTAAGACAGGAGAATGTAGAAGTTTTACTTGCAGATATATGCTTCACTTTAAGGCTCTTGCAAAGGGAACTCTCTCAATAAATTGAATCATACATTGAGTTATTTTGGAAATGCTTATTAAAATGAACCCAGGGAGGTCCAGTGTGTAATTTGTTTTGGTTTTAAACTATAATGTATTTTGACTGCTGCACACAAACACTTGCTTTTCAAAGGTCAAGTGCCAAAGAATTTAAAATGTGTGAATTCTTAATACAGTGCATGTATGTTATTTATTTTTTTAGTTTTTGCAGCACCAGTGGCTTGTTTTTTGACAGTAGGCTGACAGGAAATGGGGAAAGAGAGGGGGGGGGGGGGGACATGCAGGAAAGAACCACAGGTTGGACTCGAACCCATGTCGGCCCATCGAGGACTAATGCCTCTGGTCATGGATTGTGCACGCCAACCACTGCGCATCCAAAACACACCACAGTGCATGTGTGTTTGTAGAATATCAGAGAATTGTGCATTCCTCACAGCAACTGTGTATGATTTTATTCTTATTGAGATGAAGGAACCTTAACATTGTGCTAAAATATGATTTTTGGATTTTAAAAATGTCATGCGCATGAGAAAATAATTGAACCTTCTCAGACATCTGAAAACGTTTGGCTGATAAATCTATGGCTGTGCTGTATCCTCTTATTCTTAACGTAATTTTAACTTTTTGGTATGTAATGAACTTCATTATATGCAAACCTTATTTGACAAGTGATCCCAGCACAACCTCATAGATATGTTCAACTTCCACTATTAGTAATATTTCATTTTCTTCAGACTTAAACCCAATTGTAAATTGGGTTAAGGACATTTAACATATTCAGTGCATTCAGAAATTTTTCCCACTCTTGTACTACTGCTTTGTTTAAATATTTGAACCATATTGTACTAGTTTTGACCTGATTTGTTTGACTAATAAATGCAATAAAACATATGTGTTATTTTTCTACCCACTACTTACTCTATAGATTTTAAGGTAATTCGATCTGAAATATAAGGGTTAAAAACAAATGTGTAAGAACCTTAAAGTCAAGAACAACCAACGCTTTGGTAATTTGCTCAATCTATAATATAACAAGACATAAAGGTTGACATCAGAACAGAGCAACTTTAAGTACAGTTATATGTGGTTGGGACAGTAAAAACTGAAGGGGAATCTTTAGTCATTAGCTTACATCCTTTAAATAAGACACTGGG